TTAAAAAAAAAAGAAAAAAAAAAGAAAAGGATTTAAGACCTTGATGTGATGGAGGTAAAAAGAATAAAAATGCTAGAGAAAGGGAGAAAAACCATAAAGCAGGATCCTAGATCCAAAGTACCAGTAATTATAGCACATTCCCACCTAGAAAGTCAAGCAAAGACAAAGACACTGAGGCCTTAAGTGAAGATGGCTTTCAGGTGTCCAAGGAGACTATACCAACTCCACCCATGCAGTTCCAGAAGTGCAGAGTATTACAGAAGTGTCATATTAACAGCATTTCACAGCTGCCAGCCTCTGCCAGTACAATTCCAGTTCACTCATGCTGTCTCCCATGCCCTTGTTCTCTACTCACCGAGACAGCTGTGGCTTGAGATTTCACCATCCAGCAGACATGGCTCTTCTTGCTCCAAACTGAAGATGACTTCTGGTTTGGGAACTTGACACCCTATTAACAGGAAATGATAGAAGACTTGGTTTCAGAGGCCATTCAATGAAGCATTCCATTTACTTTCCAGAAAAGTTCATGCAGAGAGAAGTATATTCATAATACCCCAAAGGGATAATGAGTAACATAGAACAAAATAAGGACAAAACTAGTACACACTTCAGATGTCCTGCAGTCTTTAGAACTCCCACATACCTCAGAAATCCCACAGATTTCAAAAATTCCACTGAGAATGAAAACATACTCAAACAGGTACAGCCTTACCCCCAGTGGAGCTGTGCTTACCCACTGAGATCAAGTTGAAATAGTTTTCCAGCATTACATCCCTGTACAGGCTTTTCTGAGCAAGGTCCAATTGTTGCCACTCATCCCTGCTGAAGTCTACTGTTACATCCTTGAATGACACTGACCCCTGAAAAACACATTCCTATTCAATGTGAAGGATGAGGATTGAAGAATGGGAACAAGATATTTAGGAACTTACTTTCAATAATTTTTAATATGCTACAACATATAAGGTTCTCACTAAACACCAATATCTTATATTATTATTTTGAAGGAAAAAATAAATCTTATTAAATATATCATGCCATTCTTTCTATGCTACTGATGATATTCTGTGTAGTTTCGGTCTTATTTTTATTGGTGTACTAGTTTCAAAGAAATAAGCTGTCTAAATTCATAAAACTGTAAACATACGATTTGTGCATTCTTTTCTATGCCATGTCAGCAACACTTCGCGTAAAAAATAAACTATATTCTGCCATTCATTTTGAACTTACCAATCCACTGAATAAGTCCATTCTTTCTTTTAAAAAGATGATTAAAAAAAGGCTTTTTTACCCCCCAAAACAGTGTGGTACTAGGATAAAGAGAGACATATAGGTCAATGGAATGTAACTGAGAATCCAGAAATAAACCCTCATATTTATAGTCAATTAATATTCAACACAGGTGTCAAAACAATTTAAAATGGAAAAAAAAGTTTTTCAACAAATAGTGCTGGGACAAGTAGATATCCACAGGTAAAGGGATGAAGCTGAACCCCTACTTCATACCATATAAAAAAATTAGCTCAAAGTGGATCAAAGGCCCAATGTTCCTATATTTAGCCAAATTTACATTTAACTAAAAGGTAAATCTTTGTGACACTGGATTTGGCAATGATTCCTTAGACATAAAATCAAAAGCACAAGCAACTAAAGAAAAAAAATAGATAAACTGGACTTAATTGTGCTTAGGAGGATATCATCAAAAAAGTGAAAAGATGGGAAGCCTGGGTGGCTCAGTTGGTTAAGCGTCTGCCTTCAGCTCAGGTCATGATCCCAAGGTCCTGGGATCAAGTCCCACACTGGGCTCCTTGCTCAGTGGGGAGCCAGCTTCTCCCTCTGCTCACTGCCCCCCCGACTTGTGCGCTCTTGCTCTCTCTCTGACATATAAATAAATAAAATCTTTAAAAAAAAAGGGAAAAGACAACCCAAAAACTGGGATAAAATTTTTGCAAATTATATGTCCAATAAGGGACTTGTATCTAGACTACATAAAGAACTCTTATAACTCGGGCGCATGGGTGGCTCAGTTGTTAAGCATCTGCCTTCTGCTCAGGTCATGATCCCAGGGTCCTGGAATTGAGCCCCACATCAGGTTCCCTGCTGGGTGGGAAGCCTGCTTCTCCCTCTCCCACTCCCCCTGCTTGTGTTTCCTCTCTCGCTGTACCTCTCTCTGTCAAATAAATAAATAAAATCTTGAAAAAAAAAAGAACTCTTATAACTGAATAAAAAATAATCAATTAAAATGGGCAAAGGATCTGAATATACATTTCTTCAAAGATAAACAAATGGCCAAAAGCACATGAAAAGATCCTCAATATCTTTAGTCGTAAGGTCACATAGAAAATACTCCTTTGGGCGCCTGGGTCGCTCAGTCAGTTGGGCGTCTGCCTTCAGCTTGAGTCATGATCCCGGAGTCCCAGGACTGAGTCCTGCATCGGGCTCCCTGCTCAGAGGGGAGTCTGCTTCTCTCTCTGCCTTTCACCCTGCTCGTGCTCTCTCTCACTCTCTCTCTCTCAAATAAATAAATAAAATCTTTAAAAAGAAAAGAAAATACCCCTTCAAATTCACTGAGATGACTATAATAAAAAAGATGCTCAATATTATTTGTCATCAGAGAAATATGCCCACTAGGATGGCTTCAATAAAAAAGATAATAATAAACATTAGTGAGGAAGTGGAAAAACTGGAATCCTCATGTGGTGATGGTGAAAATGTTACAGCCACTTTGTGAAACAGTGGCAATTCCTCAAAAAGTTAAACATAGAGTTACAATATGACCCAAGAGGTCCACTTCTAGGTATATTCACAAAAGAAATGAAAACATTTGTCCACACAAAAATTGCACATGTTTATAGTAGCATTATTTCTAATATTCAAAAATAGAAACAACCTAAATGTCTGTGAACTAATAATGGTTTAAAAAAATGTGCTATATCCATACAGTATGTTATTCAGCCATAAAAAAGGAATAAAGTACTGGTACATGCTACAATGTGGATGAATCTTGAAAACATTATGCTAAGTAAAAGAAGTCAGTCACAAAAGGCCAGATATTGAATGATTCCATTATTATGAAATGTTCAGAACAGGAGAACTTATTGTTACAGAAAGAAGATTACCAATTGCCGAGGGTTAGGAGGAATGGGAGGATTAGGGAGTGACAGCAAAAAGGTGTAAGTTTGGAGGGAGAGGGTTAAAGAAAATATTCTAAAACTGATATTGGTTACACAACTCTGTGAATATACTAAAATCCAATGGATGTATACTTTACTTTTTTTTAAATTTTATTATGTTGAATGTATACTTTAAATGGATGAAATATGTGGTGTAGAAAGGACTCTTTCTTTTCTTTTCTTTTTTAAAGATTTTATTTATTTGACAGAGAGAGCACAAGCAGAGGGAGAGAGAGGGAGAAGCAGGCTCCCCGCCGAGCAAGGAGCCCGATGTGGGACTCGATCCCAGGACCCTGGGATCATGACCCGGGCCAAAGGCAGCCGCTTAATCGACTGAGCCACCCAGGCGTCCCAAGGACTCTTTATTTTAAAAGATTTTATTTATTTGACAGAGAGACACAGCGAGAGAGGAAACACAAGCAGGGGGAGTGGGAGAGGGAGAAGCAGGCTTCCCACCGAGCGGGGAGCCTGATGCAGGGCTCGATCCCAGGACCCTGCGATCATGACCTGAGCCGAAGGCAGACGCTTAACGACTGAGCCACCCAGACGCCCAAAAGAAATTTTTTTTTTTAAATGAAGATGTGGTATGTGTATATACAGTGAAATCACTGAGTATCACTCAGACATAAAAAAGACTAAGATTTTGCCCTTTGCGACAACATGGATGGGCCTACAGGGTATTGTGCTGAGTGAAACAAGTCAGAGAAAGACAAATACCATACAGTTTCACTTACATGTGAAATCTAAAAAACAAAACAAAGTATAAACAAACCCAGAAATAGAGAGAACAAACTGATGGTTGCCAGGGGATAGGGGTAGAATGAGTGAAGGGGATGGGAGGTACAGACTTCCAGTTACGGAATGAGTAAGTCATGAGGACGAAAGGTACAGCCTAGGGAAGAGAGTCAGTGGTATCGGGACAGCTTTGTATAGTGACAGATGGTAGCTACGTTTGTGGTAAGCATAGCATAATGTACAGACTTGTCGAATCACTGTGTTGTACAGCTGAAACCAATGTAATACTGTGTGTCAACTGTACTTCAATAAAAAAAATAAAAGCCAAGGGCGCCTGGGTGGCTCAGTTGGTTAAGCGACTGCCTTCGGCTCAGGTCATGATCCTGGGGATCGATCCCCTGCGGGATCGAGTCCCGCATCGGGCTCCCTGCTCGGCAGGGAGTCTGCTTCTCTCTCTGACCCTCCCCCCTCTCATGTGCTCTCTCTCTCATTCTCTCTCTCTCAAATAAATAAATAAAATCTTTAAAAAAAAAATAAAAAATAAAAGCCAAGATTGAGGCTTCTGGTTCTTAAAAAATGGAGTACGTGCATTCTACCCTATTTCTCCTGTTAATTACCTAAAAATCTAAGAAAATACACAAAACATTTATCCACACCCTTGGCTTTCTCTCAAGAGCTTTCTTGACAGTGAAACTAATTTTGGCACCTTTTGGAATCTTGATAGCCTGAAAATTCCCCAAGTCATCAAGTGTGGTTCCTTTTTGCTTAACAGCTATCCCCTCAATCCATCTCAACTGTTACATTTCACTATAATCAGGAAGAAGAAACTTGGCTACATCTTCAACCCTTTGCTTGGAAATCTCCTCAAAGAAAAATCCAAGTTCATCACTGACAAATCTGTTTTCCACATAACTACAGGACAAACTTCATCTAGGCTTTCTGCCACTGCACAACAGGGTACCCTTTCCTCCGGTTTCCAATAACATGCTCCTCATTTCCTTCCAGTCATCACGAGCAGTACCTTTAATAACCGTTTCTATCAAGATTTTGTTTATAACAATTTAGGTATTCTCTAAAACAACATAGATTTTTCCTACTGTGCTCCTCACCTCTTTGTGAGTCCTCTAGCAGAGTGGTTAACAACCATATTTCTACTACCAGTCTGTTCAAGGAAATCTAGGCTCTTGCTATTCTGTTCTCCAAAATTCTTAGTTTCTACCCACTACTGAATTCCAAATCTACTTCCACATTTGTAGGTATTTATTACAGTAGCACCCCACTTCCAGGTACCAAAATCTGTAATGGTTTCCTATCGCTGCTGTAACAAATTTACCACAAAGTTAAAACAACACAAATTTATTATCTTATGGTTCTGAAGGTCAGATTTTCAACATGGATTTACTGGGCTAAAATCAAGATGTTAGCAGGGCTATATTCCTCCTGGAGGCTCAAAGGGAGAATTCATTTCCTTGACCTACACACCTTCTAGAAGCTCATGGCCCCTTCCTCTATCTTCAAAGCCAGCAGAATGGCATCTTCAAATCTCTCCCTGACTCCTGCCTCCCTCTTTCACTTATAAGGACCCACGTGATTACACTGGGTCCACCCAGATAACCCAGTGTAATCTCCCTACCTCAAGATCCTTAATTTAGCCACATCTGCAAAGTCCTTTCTGCCACATGAGGTAAAATGTCCACACTTTCCAGGGATTCGGATGTGGACATCTTAGGGGCAATTATTCTTATTACCATATCTAGTAAGAGAAAATGAGATAGTAAAAGTAAAAACAATGGCTTATTACCATATCTAGTAAGAGAAAATGAGAAGGTAAAAGTAAAAATTATTTACAATCTAGAATTTACACCCAACCAAGCTATGAAAATAAAGACATTTCCAGATATGCAAGGTCTCAAAAAATTCACTTCCTACACACACTTTATAGAGAGCTACTGTATGACAGGTTCTAAAAATGAAAGCATAAGGGGCACCTGGGTGGCTCAGTCATTAAGCATCTGCCTTCGGCTCAGGACATGATGCCAGGGTCCTGGGATAGAGCCCCACATCAGGCTCCCTGCTCCCCGGGAATCCTGCTTCTCCCTCTCCCACTCCTGTTTGTGTTCCCTCTCTCGTTGTGTCTCTCTCTGTCAAATAAATAAAATCTTTAAAAAATAAAATAAATAAATAAATAAATAAAACAAAATAAAAATGAAAGCGTAAATCAAGAAAGAGCCTAAAACAAAGAGATCCAACGCTTGAGGGACATGAAAGGAATTTCTAGAACTATGCCAAAGAGAGACCCCAAGTCAGTAGCTGAGTATCAAACAGAGAACACTGCGAGCAGGTCAGGTCAAAGACCATGAGGGAAGTTTCTTTAGAGATGAAATTAAGAGCCTATATTCTAAAGCCAAATTACCTGGGCTTACACTTGGCTTCAGTACTTACTAGTGGTACAATCTTGGGCAAGTTAATTACCTTTCTGTGGATCTGTTTCTTCCTCCATAAGGTGAGGATGATTATAGATACCTCATAGGGGTTGTAATTAAATTAGTTAATAGAGAGGGTGCTCACAGTGCCTGGCAAATAGCAAGCACTATAGTAAGGCTTGCGATTACCATTACTGTTATTACCTAATACATTTTAACATACTGAAAAGATATTTCTATACTTGGGAAAATTTATGGAATTAACTGCTATATAATCACAATGTACACACACACACACACACACACACAGAAAATGAAACAAATGATTAAACCAAACAATTAATGATTGCAGGTAAAACAAAAAGTAGTGCACAAAAGGTAAAGTAAATGGTTCAGCTGTGAATATAATTAAAATAATCCTCATAATAAATACAGCCTATTGATTTACCCAAAACTATAATATTCCTATCATAAGGAGACATAAGAAATATGCATGTGAGTGTTGAGGGCCTAAGTGTTTCAAAGAGAGTTAAATCCTTATTTTCCATTGTATTAAGTCAGCAGATACTGCCTAAAGCTGAAAGCTAATACAAACATTACTTAGACATATGAAAGTCAATACTAAAACAAGCAGTTCAACTGAGTTCACAGTGATTACCTTTGAAGAGCTGGAATTTGAGAGCTAAGCAAAGTTCTATGGAGCCTCAAAGAACTATGTGAGTAAATACAAGTGTAACTTTCATGATATTCCAAATGAAATATTTACTTTTAAAAGTTAAAATGCAAAGAACAGAGAGGTAAATATATCTGAAAAAAAAAAAAAGAATATGCTTAATATAAAATAAGTCTTCCTCAAAAAAAAAACAAAAAACAAAAAAAAAACCAGTGAACTGACTTCCATTCCTGGAAAGATGGGAATAGATGCACTTGTCCCTTCTCACCCTACTAAGTACATCAAAAACCATAGACATCATCCATAAAACAAATATGAGAAGACTCCATAAGGCTAAAGAAAAAAAGTCGACTGGCTAGGGACCTCAGAAACCAAGAAACTACACAGCATGAGTTCCCGAAGACTGCTTCATACAGCCTTGACAGGTGCTAGAAAAGCCTACAACCCAGTATCACCAACAAGAGCACACAAAGGGAGCTCAAAGAAAAGTCTGCTCTCTCTAGCTAAGGGGCAGAAAGGCAGAAAGGGCAGAAAGGCAGAAAACTTTTAGGCGAAACATACTCCGGCCAGACACAACAAATTAAAAAAACAAACAAAACCTTTGGGTCTGACCCCAAACCCATCAGCAAAGACCCACTGAGTAGCCTAGACTCCCATTCTTGCCCAGTTAAACAGAGAAGCCCTTTTCATACTTCAAAGGTGTAATGTGAGAAAAAGCCGGGAGGGGAGTTGGAACTTTCATCCATACAAAGAAGTAATAAAATAAAATAAATAGATCAGTATTCCTCATCAATATGATATAAAAATCCTTAACAAAGTATTAACAAATACAAATATATAGGAAGAAGTATATGCCATAATTAAATGGGGTTTATTCGAAGGTTGCAAGGCTGGCTCAAGATGTGAAAAGCAATCAATTGTAGGTGGGGGGAAGGGGGTGTCTGAGGACCCAGCAGGGCCTCCTGCTGCATGAGAATACAATAAATTTTATTCTTTAAAAAAAAAAAAGAAAATCAATCAATCATAATCCATCATAGCAATAGGCTAAAGAAGTAAAATCCCATTATCATATCAACTGATACAGAAAAAACATCTGACAAAATACCAGTTCATCATAAAACCTCAAAACTTTGCTTCATGAGGTAGTCCTTGGACAAGCATAAATGACATCCTGTGGGAATCCCAACCCTATTAAATCAGAATCTTAAGTCATGTGCAAGTGTGAGAAGCATTGCTTTATAACAATAGAAAACCTATCAGTGCACTTCTACTAACAATGTTGTTGAAGACACTGTTCTGTCTCCATCCAAATTTTTCTCAAACAACAGGAACCAGGATATCTTTACTACAGGTGAAATAAATTACTTATCAACAATATAAATCAGTATCTCATTTCTATTACTGCTAGGTCTTTCAGGGAAGTCAGAGACAATCTCACAGTTCAAAGTTCATAGCTGTATAAAACCACACAAGTCACATATATCTATACTCCAAGCTTGACCCGGAGTGAATAGTCACTTCTTTTTTTCCCCCTGATCTTAATTTTTATTTATTTATGCTTGTCCATCTTACTCTATGGATTATTAAATGCTTCCTAAAATCCACTAGAAAATAAAGCAACAAATACAGAGCAAAAACAAGTAAGAACTTACCAGGGACTTGGTCATTTCCGGCTCTTCTGGGAAAGAGGCAGAGATCTGAGAAATGAGATGGACAGAGGGACAGATAAGAGAAGGAAGTGTGCCAGAATCCCACACATGGACACATGTATCATTTAGCATCCATGCACCTGACCCAAAAACTTATTTCTAGAACTGTATCATAAAAAAAACCATCCCAGGGGCGCCTGGGTGGCTCAGTCAGTTGGGCGTCTGCCTTTGGCTCGGGTCGTGGTCCCGGGGTCCTGGGATCGAGTCCCGCGTCGGGCTCCCTGCTCCACAGGGGGCCTGCTTCTCCCTCTCCCACTCGCCCTGCTTGTGTCCCCTCTCTCGCTGTGTCTCTCTCTGTCAAATAAATAAATCTTTAAAATAAATAAATAAATAAATAAATAAAAATAAATAAAAAAAACATCCTGTATTGCACAAAATTTAAATGCAGGAGTTTTACCACAGCATGGCTAATAACAAAATAAAAAGGCTAGAATATCTTGATACTCAAGACTGCTTAAATAATTTACAGGCCATCCTGAGAACATAAAGTTATATAAAATTAAATTACAGTAGAAAAATATGTTAAACTAACATGTAAAAATAAAAACATGTACCAAACAGTATGATTCCATTTTCACTGAACAATATGTGCGTACATACACATGCGCACATACACGCATATACACATCTATGAGTGCATTCATGCATAAAAAGAAAATTATCTGGAAGGAAATATACTACCATGTTAACAGGTATATTATTTGGGTGATGGTAAAATTACAGGTAATTTTTATATTCTTCTTATTTGCTAGTAAAAAACAAAGTAACTGTTTTTAAAGAATATAATGAGTTTGCTCTGAGCTTCTGTGACTAGCCCATCCCAACCAGTGAGAAAATTCACAGGAAAGACCAAAGAGAGAGCCTGAAGCTTTTTCACTTTTCTCCTTTGCTTAGAGTTTTTTTTTTTATTTTATTATGTTATGTTAGTCACCATACATCATTAGTTTTTGATGTGGTGATCCACAATCCATTGTTTTTGTATAACACCCAGTGCTCCATGCAGTACGTGCCCTCCTTAATACCCATCACCGGGCTACACAATCCCCCCTCCCCCCTCCCCTCTAAAACCCTGTTTAAATATCTCAGACTCCATAGTCTCTCATGGTTCATCTCTCCCTCCGATTTCCCTCCCTTCATTTTTCCCTTCCTTCTCCTAGTGTCCTCCATGCTATTCCTTATGTTCCACAAATAAGTGAAACCATATGATAACTGACTTTCTCTGCTTGACTTATTTCACTTAGCATAATCTCCAGTCCCATCCATGTTGATGTAAAAGTTGGGTATTCATCCTTTCTGACGGCTGAGTAATATTCCATTGTATATATGGACCACATCTTCTTTAACCGTTCATTTGCTTACAGGTCTTAAAAGGGAAACTTCAATGGAAACTCTGTCTTGTAAAGAAAGCACTTCTGCTGTCTTTCCTATATAGCTGTACCCTAGGGCAACCAAACACTTCATGCAGGAGTTTCTCTCTTCCTCTTTTTATAATATTCCAGCTAATAAATGAAGGAATGGTAGAAGTGAAAATGTCCATCTTGTACCCCTAATGGAATAGTGGATCTAGGAAACAATCAACAGCTATTCACATCACAAAAAGATAACCAGATATTGTGTGCCTGATGGAAGTACACACCACCACTTAGGAAGTAGTCTTGCCCCAGAATAACAAAAAAGGAACTTGAATCTGCCAAGCCTCTAAATCCACCTACCAATCCAATCTACATGAAATGGTATTTTAAAATATATTATAATTTTTTAAAGTATAATAATATCACTGTGGCTATTTTTATTTAAAATACTTATTTTTAGGTTTATATATTGAAATACGGGTGAAATGACACAATGTATGAGATTTGCTTCAAAATAATCCAGCAGAAGAGAAAAAATATGGGAAAGGAAGGTGTAGATGACAAATGACTGGGCATGACTTGATAACTAGAATAATCACACTGACACCCACTGACCAATGGGCATATGGGAGGTTTATTATATTACTTGCTCAGCTTTCCTACTTTTGAAATTTTTATAGTAAAAAGTTAACAAAGTCATGTTTTAGAAAATGAGATAAACTTGACTACAGAGTATCAGATGAGGGAGCTACTTACTATCGGGGAGCTTCTGTTAGATTGGTAATGGCTAGGTGGCTGTGAGAAAAAAAGTCATCAGGACCTGTATGCTGAAGTATTTGTGGAATGATATGGTATCTGAGATTTATCTTAAAATATTATGGTCAAGGGAGTCCTGGGGGGCTCAGGTGGTTAAGTGTCTGCCTTCAATCTCAGGGTCCTGGGATTGAGCCCCATGTCGGGATTCCTGCTCAGCAGGGAGTCTGCTTCTCTCTCTCTCTCTCCCCCACCCCACCCCTCCCCACTGCTCATTCTCTCTCACTCTCAAATAAATAAATAAAATCTTTAAAAAATATATTCTGGTCGGTTTGCAAGGAGACTTGGAACGAAGTTGTAGCAAAGCAGCAGCTACAGTTGCACCGTTGTATCTTCAGCTTCAGAATGTTTCCCACAGCCAGAACCACTCTAAGTTGTCTCCGAGTTCAAAGCATTCCACAAACAACGGCAAGGCAGAGCCACCAGAAAAGGACACCTGATTTCCATGACAAATATGGTAATGCTGTACTAGCTAGTGGAGCCACTTTCTGTATTGCTGTATGGGCATATACAGCAACACAAATTGGAATAGAGTGGAACCTGTCCCCTGTTGGCAGAGTCACCCCAAAGGAATGGAGAGATCAGTAATCATCCCAGTTGATGTAATACTGAATTGTTTCAAAACCAACTCATAATTGATGCCAAGTAAAAGCACTGTGCATCCATTAAAGTATGGCATGGTTGAAGAAATAAAGTACATTTGAAACCTTCTATATATATATTCTGGTCAAAACAAAGTAAGTGGGAAGAAACAGGTGAAACAACACTGGCAAATAGTTGATAATTACTGAGACTGGGTGATATGGGCATTTGGGGTTCATTATATATTTTCCCTACTGTACATTTAAAATTGTGTACCTTTAAAATTTTCTATAACAAGGGCGCCTGGGTGGCTCAGTTGGTTGAGCGACTGCCTTTGGCTCAGGTCATGATCCTGGAGTCCCGGGATCGAGTCCCGCATCGGGCTCCCTGCTCAGCAGGGAGTCTGCTTCTCCCCCTGACCCTCTTCCCTCTCGTGCTCTCTGTCTCTCATTCTCTCTCTCTCAAATAAATAAATAAAATCTTAAAAAAATAAAAAATAAAAAATAAAAAAAATAAAATTTTCTATAACAAAACAAAAAATCTCAAGGCGCCCGGGTGGCTCATTAAGCACCCCACTCTTGATTTTCGCTGAGGTGATGATCTCAGGGTCGTGCATCAAGCCCAGTGTCAGACTCCATGCTGAGCATGGAGCCTGCATAAGATTCTCTCTCCCTACCTCTTCTCTGCCCCTGCCATCCACGTGCGCACGCTCTCTCTCAAAATATAAACAAATAAATACGTAAATAAATAAATACTTCTAAAAAATAAAATCTCTCCCACTACAGCAAACAGATTTGGAGCATATGACATCAGCCATACACTGTTCACATTGCAAAAGGATCATGTTTTGTTTTAGCAAGCCCAGTTCTAAAAACAGTCCTGCTTCTGAGGCTCCCCTCCCCCTTCACAGGAGCTCTCACATTCCCAAAGAGGCAGGATATGAGCTGGATCCTGTGGGCAAGTTCTCCTTGGCTGTCATGTTCACACTGGGCCTCACCTCTGTGTATCTTAGGACTCCAATCTTCCTAGGAGCCCAAGGATGGGTGAACGTCGAAGACTACCAGCAAGATTGGGCTAAGGTGGGCTGGAGTATGAAAAAGTGATTCTGAAGGCTCACTAAGTGCTCTGACATCAAGGCTCTGTGAAAACACAAAGGGATCCTTCAGAGAGAGTGCCACATGGTGACAGCCACTCAGCTGTACTCCCAAGAGCCTCCTACAGTGTGGAACAGGAGACACAGGGGAACAATAAAAAGTACAGAGCCGAATCAATGTATTTTTGAATCCCAGCTCTTTTATCTTCTAGCTGTGACAATTTGGAGAACTCACTTCAGTCTCAATTTCCCCATCTTCATACTTTTTAGATAAACAAACTTATAATACTTGAAAAGCACTCAGCCCAGGGCGCCTGGGTGGCTCAGTTGGTTAAGCGACTGCCTTCAGCTCAGGTCATGATCCTGAAGTCCCAGGATCGAGTCCCGCATCGGGCTCCTGCTCGGCGGGGAGTCTGCTTCTCCCTCTGACCCTCCCCCCTCTCATGTGCTCTCTCTCTCTCACTCTCTCTCTCAAATAA